CTGTATGACACTATTCCTTCCTTATCACACTATTCCTTCCTTATCTCACTATATGACACTATTCCTTCGTTATCACACTATTCTTTCCTTATCACACTATTCCTTCCTTATCCATAGTTCTTCCTTATCAAAATGTTCCTGCAATATCTATGACCACAGCGCTTGATAACTTGATGACTTAGGCCTCTTTTGGTTATTTGGTTACAGATATTTTCTTCCCAACCCAGTACATCCATGGACAGAATCAAAACATTCTACAACATGATGTTGATCTCTTAAACCTGTTAAAAGTAATTTCTGTCCAGTGAAACGGTGAAAAAATTAAATGGTTTGGGGAATAACAAGTGAAATGGTTGCATGCTTTCTTACCTACTCCTAAATTGACATACTTTTTCAAAAGTAATTTTATTAAATACTTTGCCCGAAGATAGATAACTACTATCAAATTTGTTATTTTCTCCACATGTGTGAAATTTTGGGAAGCAGATCTTGTTCACCAAGTAATATAGATAAAACTCCCGAAAACTAGAAATATACCAAACAATCCTGAACAGCTTATGACATGAACAACGTGACATGTTGAATGTCTCAGTAATTTGTACCGCTATTGATTGGTGTGAGCTTAGTCTGAGGATTATCAATCACAGACGTATAAAGTGTCTTGGTTTTCAGTGTGGCAGTTCAACCTGAACGTCAAATCACAATTATATTACTATATGTACAACCCACCGTCACACACCTGATTGCCTGTCTGGTATAGGGCTGTGTAGATGGTGGTTATAGACAACTCAATTGGGAGAATTGCCATACTAGGGCATTTTTCTTTTTATTCCTTGATCTTCTGATCTGCCCACCCTGAGGGACTGATCATTTATTATAGGGGGTAGGTGGGTCAGAGGGTTATGATGTACTAATGCATTTTTGTACAGAAATTAATGACCTTCCCACAATGCTTGTCATATAGTGGATGACCCTCCCCATGTCCTTGTAAATCTTTTTCAGGACATTCCCTAAAAAGACAAAATCAAAAGCACTTTATGTAAGAAATAAATGACAAGTTGGAGTTTATCGTACAATAAAACACTGCAAGGAGTATAAACCATAGGTGGCGCAATATCGATTGTCATATCTCTTTTGGAGGCAATTGTTCGGCCATCATGTTTATCTGTTGCCCAGCTACATCTGTGGGGAACAACTCACAAGACACTCCCCTCTCAAAAAAAAAAGATTATCCAATATGCAATGTCATCAAGATGCAAAGCATATGTTGGAATCTCCAGAAATGATGTCATGATAGAAAATGTTTTATCGTGAAATAAACCACACTTCGTTCTTCATTGTTCTTTGTGATTCATCGCGTAGCTATTTTATCATAAACTGTCCATTTTTTATGACCCTTTCACGAATATGTGTATTATTATGAGAATAACGAACGATCTATGTATTACTTCCCAAGAGAAAGTTAAACCATAATTCAAAGTTTCAAGTTGCTTATCCTCTTTAATATACTATCCCTTACTATCCTCGGAATTTCTAGCGGCTTTAACTCAAACCAAATGTATCCCTACACAACACGAAACAAGCGACCTTTTGACGACACATCGGGTTGTGTAAATAACTCACTATAATCATTCAAAAAAACTCTTGCAAAACTTTAGAAACATGTTGTTGCATTTAATTCAATGCTTTTAACAAATGCAAGTTAACAATTTTATAAGTCTACATTGGTGAGCAGTGTTTAAAATAATTTTAAACCCAAAAAGACCAGGTGGCCAGGTGTTCCATAAATGTTGCCATAAATCTTCAAAATGACTTGCCTGCATTCAGATAATATAAATATTGCAAAGTCATGAAAAATGAAAGACAAATTATGTCTTGATTCAGTAGAAACAATGCAAACAATTTCTTTAGAATCTACGATGAGTTATGATAAAACTGAAAACATAAGTAGTCTTACAATTATCAGCCAGACAGTTGGGCAGGTTAAGGAAAATTTCAAGCAGCCACACAGAAAAGTTACCAACCACGGACAGGTGGGCAGGCAGTTATTTCAGACACTGTCGGTGAGTGTGAGCATGTCGGTAACTACTAGTGTTAAGATGGCTTTGTAAAACCTGGCCTTGGATCTTGTCCTTCAATGTTAACTTATCTCTACAGTTGCTGTACATCAATGCATGGACGCTATAACTAGTAGTGCTAAGATGGCTTTGTAAAACCGGGCCTTGAATCTTGTCCTTTAATGTGAGCTTAGCTCTACAGTTGCTGTACATCAATGCATGGACGCTTTAACTAGTAGTGCTAAGATCGCTTGGTAAAACCGGGCCTTGAATCTTGTCCTTTAATGTGAGCTAAGCTCTACAGTTGCTGTACATCAATGCATGGACGCTATAACTAGTGGTGCTAAGATCGCTTTGTAAGAAAACTAAATCAAGTACTGATCTTGAAGCAACACCTCCACCTGCCTTGGATGAATCTTACAATGGACTGGTAGCACTAAGTATCTTAGTGTTACATCTACCATCAGTCCATGGAAATTTATGACAGAAAGTAGCACTAAAATATGAAAGTCTTGTAGTACAATCAACCAAGGCAGGCACAGTCTCTGATTCATGTTGGTGTTCAAAACAATGATTTATGGTAAATGATATGTTTACGGACAGAGATTGACAAGCTATCAGAATACCTTGATCTCCAAGATCTGGCGATCAACTGGTCATTGTTCTATCTCCAGGAAGGGCAACCTATTCCTCCAGGAAAGGCCCTAGTTCCAGGTGATGGTTGAGCCTGTCCTTGAAGCTCCTGGTTACATTGTAACTTTATTTACTTACCTCAGAGTGAGTAAGCTGCAAGTAGCCTTGTCCTGTTGTCTGACTTCGGTGTTGTCTGAAAGTCTGGTGTATCTCATTGACTTGATGTGGACTAAGCCCACTGTCTTGTGTCTGGCAATGAGAATAAGTTGAAGTCTGTTTAGGCTGCACACCAGCAAGGTAGGGTCATTTTTTACGAGGAATATTTGGTGTAATGGGGACGTGGGTCAGTGGTAAAGCTCATCAACTATACCTATAATGGATGCCTGACTGAAGAATTATTCACACATTTTAGTAGAAAGTAGAAACCATTAAGAACTGTTCTGGAAGTTTTCTGGTGGTTTGATCATGTATTCTCTTTCATTCATTTCAAGTATAGCAAAACAATTAAATCGCACGAGATTCTGTGGCATTTGATTGGCTCGCAAAGCAATTATTTGACATTTATGTTCTCATATCCCCCCCCCCCCACACACACACACCCACACGCGCGCACTCATGCACACACGCACGCACGCACCCACGCACACACACACAATAAAACCAGACCAAAACCCAAACAATAAAAACAAAAAACAAAAACAGGTCACACTCAATATCGGCTTCTTGTGCGTTAATAAGCAGGCTGTGAAGTAATTAATGTTGTCGTTTTTATTTAAAAGAATTAATTTCATTATTTTTGGCATTTATGGAGTTAAACATGTAACAACAGGTAAGCAGGTTTTGCGTAAATCAGACATGTGGAAAAAAAAGTCAATTCTTAAGTACTTTGAGATTGTATAGAATCCCCATGTCATTAATGTCTCATGTTGTATACCTGCTGAACAGAAATAATAAAAGAAACGACAGAAATCATGAGCTTGTGCCTTGTTCAAAGTATGCTTTATATTTGTGTTTGTATAAATTTGTTAGAAGAAGATACTATGAGGATATTATTTTGAATAAAAGCTATCCTCATTTCAACATTAGCATTTTTATCAATTTGTGTATTTCCTTCCAACTGATCAGGTGAGGTTGGGTAGCCCACTGGTTACAGCTTCCGCTCATCACCCAAAAGGCCAGGGTTCAATTCCCCACATGGGTACAATGTGTGAAGCCCATTTTTGGTGTTCCCAAATGTGATATTGCTGGAATGTTGCTAAAAGAGGAATAAAACAACGCTCACTCATTCCAACTGACCATCTGCAAAACTATCAATTAAGCTATTAATCCTTAAATATGGAAAGATATGTTACAAGTACCATAACTAATACAACATGAGCTTTACAAGTGATCTGACATCTTCCCGAGGCAAGGGTGTTAAATGACTATAAAAGTCCAGTTTCCACCCTGCCGAACTAGGCTGCAATTTCCAGGCTTTATTGTAGCGTCACCAGTGGCTATTACGAGTTATGTCCCTTCTATGTTCCTCCTATTGACCAATCAGATTCCATCTCTCATATCATTTGCTTCAAACAAACAGGCAGGGTCAAGTAAAAATGATCAAGATCTATATTGTAATAAAACGGGTCTAACCCCGTGAAGTGCATCAAATCACGTGAGCACCTTGATTAAAAACATGAAAGATTTGGAAAATATCTGTCGGCGCCCAGATGACGGTACACATGTTTTGCAAACCCTGCAGTTGACCGAAATCTGTACGTTGAAATTCATGTTGTTAACAAACCAGATGTCTTGTTTGTTACGCGATTTTGATTGGACTATGCATAGACCCGTTAGTCCAGCCAAAATGTAACTCAATAATTGCAGGCTAGTTCGGCAAGGGTTGAAACTGGACTTTATGGTGAGTTAACTCCTTTGCCTCGAGAAGATGGTGATCTGAGTGTGGTGTTCAAGTATAGCAAATCAATGACTGGCTTTTGAAATGTTCCCTCCACAGTGAAAAGATGGAATCTGAGATAGGGAAGTTAATGACGAATTGGCAGCCCAATTACAACAGACTTCCACTGTACTTGGAGTCCAGAGTGCCATTCAGAGATGTGTCATGCATTTATCATGTTAATATGCCCATTCTCTGAAATATGAAACTGATAATGTATTATTTATTAAGATTATTTTTCCGTTATTTTCCCAGACCAACTCTTGCTCTTGTATTAAGGACAGTGATTTACTGAAGTATAAAAATTGAAATGATCTTTTAAGATGATGATGATGATGATGATGATGATGAACCCTGTTTTTCATGTGTTACAGATGACGAGTCGTGAACGGTGGCCATGGATATAGGGACTTCAGGTCAAGGGCACTAGGGGAGACTATCAAGATGGCATTCCTTGGCATGAGTGACGATTTCGATTTAGATGATGATGGAATTCTCCGGGACTCTGCATCAAGTGAGCACTGCATACTCTGTCATGCATTCTACACGTCTCCAAATCTATAAAAACAACTTGAGGCTTCGGGGGCTGAAAGGTCCCAAGTACCCGATGCCTGTCCTTCTGGTGTTTCATCATGGGGTAGGGGATGGGGGTTTGAGAATGGTCTTAGGACTGTATTGTCATTTTTTCATGGCCCTCCCCAGTACAGTTGTGACAACCTCCCCTTGACCTCTTTCGCTGTGTCAATTTTTCATCATCCCTCATTATCGTTTTCATTCTCCCCATCAACACCACATTCACAAATGACCCGGGCCCTAAGAGTCTGCTGATGAGGATCTTGTGGCTACAGTGTGTGACCTGGCTGATGCTGCAGGTGCCCAAAAGTGTGGGTTGTGTTACCATGGTTACTCTTGCTATCAACCACTGATTTGCCTCTGTCAGACTTTATCATTTACAGGCTGCTTAAATATAGATATACATAGTATTGCTGTCTTAGACATAAAACAACATCGATTCATTCTAAATCTTAACACAGGAAGGAATAGATAACTATTATCTAGCCATTACAGACATTTGGCCACACCAAAGGCTGAAAGATCAAATAACCAACACAGCTTTTTATCTTGAGTCCCAACATGCTTCTTTGGGAATTTATGAATTTTCCTGTTTTTAGTTGGGCCAAATTCCTTTCTTTTTGTGTATAATTGGGCTATTCTTTTATTTTTTGTGTATAATTGGGCTATTTTTTTTATGTTTTGTGTATGATTGGGTCATTCCTTTATTTTTGTGTATGATTGGGTCATTCATTTATTTTGTGTGTGTGATTGGGTCAATCATTTATTTTTTGTGTATGATTGAGTCATTCCTTTATTTTTTTTATAAAAGTGGACTATTCCTTTATTTTTTGTGTATGTTTGGGCCACACCTTTATTTTTTGTGTGTGATTTGGCCATTCATTTATATTTTGTATAATTTGGTCATTCATTAGATTTTGTATAATTTGGTCATTCATTAGATTTTGTTTTATAATTGGGTCATCCTTGAAGACATCAATGTAGATGTAAAACTAGCGTAACTGTGAAAGTGTTTCCATAGCAACCGTAATAAGAAGAGTCATAAACAACTCGCATGACAACATTTGTGGCAGGATCTGACAGTAAGATCAATGGGCAGGGCTTGAAGATTGTAGCAGAGGCACAGGTAGGCATTCGGGGGAAAACAACTGTGCTATGTTGTATTTAACCAGTATACATATGGACTAGAGACTTTGAGAACAGTTTAACGCTGAAGTACTGTGAGCATGAATAGGATGCAACAAGAAATAACATCATCATAATAATTCATAACCAATCTAATCATAACTTAGTCATTCTGCAAAGGTTTCTGATGATGAGGCCCCCCCATTGCGTTCTAGCAGATGCAACTCTACTTCTTCAGTTAAAGAAAGAACGGAATATAATGAGTGATGGTAGGGTCTTAAGGGTGAATACTGTGGAGTCAGCAATTACTATTTTGATACCGTGCCTGGTGAAAAGTAGAACTGGTCATATTTATTTCTAATACTTCCCAGTATTAAAATTGTATAGTTCATCTTGGAACATGTAAGTTCTGGCAATGGAAATGGCACATCCTCAGTGTTATAAATATTCTCAACTCTGTTTTGTTTATATGATTAAAATTGTAAAATATGTTTGCAAAATCCATTTCAAGTTTGTGGAACATTTATGCAAGAAATTGTGGCAATGTAAACAACTAAGTGTCCACACAAATTTTAGGTGTGTGGCATTTCCCGGTGGATGATGTAAAATTCAGGGACTTACAATGGAAGGGAGGTAACTCTGTTATGTCTTGCCCCATGGCTGTTGTGTTTGGGCTTGTTATGGTAATGCTGATAGTTGATGAAATATTATCTTCATTCTTTCTCATCCTACTCATTGTCACGTAAACAATTAAGTGTTTGAAATGTTCAGCTCATACTGATTGTTAACAGTAATTATTAAGCATTGTTAAAAAAGGGTTATCATCGACTGTTTTATTAAACAACAAACCAGATGTGAACACACAATGCAGTGTTAGGTCGAATCCAGGATATAAAAAACAACAAGCATGTATAAACATATGTAATGGCATGAATGATATCTTAAAATAATGGATTAAAAACTGAGAAAGTGTTTTTTGTAAATGAAAAACTGTTCTATTTCTCTTTGTACATAATGTATATTGAAATCTTATTTTATCACTAAAATTTTAAGAGAGTTTAATCCTTGATTCCACGTTTGCAAAATTTAGGGGCATTTGTAATTCCATAAACCAAGTTTTTAAAAATGCCCTACCAGGGTACAATCAGCCCTTTAGAGTAATAGTTGGGAAATGTATTTAAAGTTATGCTAAATAATTAAAATATAAAAAAAACATATACCCGGTAATGTTTTCAAGACTCAAGATTCAAATCAGCTTTGAGTGACAGAGATGTGTTTAACACTGCAGTATTTCAGTTATTCCATGGATGTCAGTTTAATGTGTGATGAACATTATGCAGAAGAATTACCTCATTTGGATGACATATGAAGTGTGTGATGCTAGATCAAAGATAGAGTTGGTGAATCTGGGATTTAAAGCCATGACCAGTGGATCCAGGCATTGTTAAGGGGCACAACTGGGATTCTTGGACCCCAATTCCTTCAAATCAACTTTGCATTTTATCACAATACAGATGATTCAAGCATGTTTTCTTACTGTGTTTCACTAAATTTCAGAACTTTTTGATGATATTTTCAAATATAATTAGGAGTAACCTGTGTGTGATCATAGATGATAGAGACTGAAAACAGGTATATACTTCATAGCCTAGATCACCTCATGTATACTCCTTAAAAGAAGTAAAGGATCACCCGATTCTTTTACATTACAGTATACTACAGTTTTAGTGAACTCAAAGGGACCACTAATTTATAACCGTAGTTCGTTATAAGCATACATACAACATCTATACAGCAAATGGACAGGACCAAAAATTAAATTTGTAATATATCCGTCAGTTCGTTATAACAGTAGCTTACTGTACTTTTGTTATGTGTCATGGCATGTCAGATTTACTTTGGTGATGTGAAAGAATCGGGTGGTCCTTAACTTCTTTTGAGAAGTATAGTACTTTATGGCTTATAATGACCAGAATGGTTTATTTACATCAACTTTGGATACTTGATCTTTTAATATTGTTCAAACCAATTTATACATACCAATATGCAGGAGAAAAACGCATGTCTGAATAGGATTGAAAAAAGTGAATTCTAAAGAAATAGCTTATCTTTTAAGATATCATTATTTCAATTCCGTCCTAATTGTTCTTGGACAAAACTTTTTACAGAACCATTATTGAAGTATTGGATTGATACAACCACACTTTTACAGTATTTCTTTCTTTTTGAACTTTTTGAGGTTTAGGTAGGTTAGTTCATGAAACAAGGAATATATTTAGTGTGGCCACAGCAGCTTAATGAAGTCTTGTGTCAACCCACGTTAGTAAAGGGACTGTATCATTAGTGCTTCAATGATGTACATGCTAAACATCCTATTTGTTGCAAGAGGTGATTGTTTGATCATCATGTACATGATTAAATCCCTTATTAGTGTTAATATTGCAAAACAAAGCATGTTTTCATGCTCTATGAGAAATATTGAAAATGACTGTAAAAATTTTGATACATCCCAGGAATTTGTGGGAAGTAATGACGTTAATCAGCAAGTCAGTGAGAGTGGTTAAAGGACCACCCAGGGAGTGTATGTAGATCTTATTGTGATAAACACTGTCAAGAATGTCGATAAAAGATTGATAAAGTTGGGACACAATAGCATTTTGAAACTCCTTGATTTGCCTCGCGTCAAAATACTGCATAAGGATTATGAGATCCTAGGGAGTAGAAAGGGACGCTGTGAAGGAATAAATCAGAATTTACAGGTATGCCATCCTTTTTTGAAGCTATTATTCAGTGTCTGATCTGGAGCATTAAGGTGGTAACACATCTCACTCATATGTCACCACTCGCCTCTTTCCGTAACAAACCTTGAAGATCCAGGGTAGAATAGGTCTTCAGCAACCCATGTTTGCTGTAAAAAACGACTTTGCTTGTCCTAGAAGGCGATCGGGGATCGGGTGGTCAGGCTTACTGACTTGGTTGATGCATGTCATCATATCCCAATTGCGTGGATCATGATGTCAATCACTGGATTGTCTGGTCCAGACTCGATTATTTTACAGACCGCCGTCATATAGCTGGAATATTGCTGAGTGCGGCGTTAAACAAAAAAAAAACCCTAAAAAATCTTTCCATAACCTTCAAAAAGACTCATCCCCTTATTGATGAATGTCATGTGAAAATATTACACAATGCCTGCTCATTTTTCATGAAAAATGTTACATAATATGGGTTGATGGCAAAATATGATACGATTCATAGGCCAATCCCCCCATCCCCCCCACACATATGCAGCTGGTCCTAGTTAGCCCATGATTATTGTTTAATGTCACATTTAAGATTATTGGACTTAAATAGCAACCTGCTTCCTTGTGCCTGCTTCAGTTAACCTGGACAAACGCCTGGTCTAGTGCACTCATATACCATGCCACAGTTTAACATGAATACCCCACTCAGTATACTGACTCTGAGCCCATCATTCCTTATCTTTTCCCTTAATGCTGAGCACCAGACACTGTAACAACAAGTACCACCTTTTAACATTTTTGGGAATAATGCGACTGGGGATCGTAACAACCCGTGAAGATCCAGGTTAGAACTGATCTTCAGCAACCCATGCTTGTCATTGGAGGTGACGGGATTCGGCGACTCAGTATCCTAGATGTGTGATGCTCATGATGTTAATCATTGGATTATCTGGTTCAGATTTGATCATTTACAGGCGTTGAACAATAAAGAGGGGATCGCAACGACCTACTTTCAGCCAGTGGGATGGTGGGGTGGCTTTATGGTTATAGCATTTGCTCATCACACTGAAGACAAGTTTGATTCCCACATGGGTACGTTTATGCTGTCCCCTGCTTGATATTGCTGGCATAAGTTTAGAAGAGACATAAAAACCTCATTCCCCTCACTCACACATTCAAGCTGTGTGCTCAGCCTGTTAACCTACACCTTATATCAGGGAGTGTGTAATTAGACTAGTGAAGGAGATTGGGCCAGCGTGCCTACACACTTTGTTTTATTGGACAGTTTAAGAGCCTGTCCTTTACAGCCCTAGATAATGGTGATGTGTGCAACATTGTTGGTTTATGACTGATTTGTATGTCAGTATTGAATGTAAGGGCTATACTCTGTTTCTGTTTCCTTGTATCCTTGCTGGATAACTTATTAGGGTGAGAGTGAGTGAGTGGAGGGGTGGGTGCGTCAGTGGTTGAGTTTGTCTTGGTGGTCGGGCGTTCAAGAGGTCAGATTGGCTGTTGAGAGTTAGGCTTGGCACGAGTTTCAATCCATTTTGATTAGGGGAACTTATTCACCACTTTAGTAAAACCCGAAATTTAATAAATTTGCTTGCTGTCAGGTTACAGATCATTATTGGGTCAAAGCTTGGATTTGAACCCAGACAAGCAGAGTGAGGCCCAGCTTTGTGTTTTTCACTACTTGGTTTACCGATCCACCAAATCTAATATTGCACAAATGTGGAATACACATATTTTATGGAGAATAATATAAATATACATTCGAATGGATGTAGCAATTTTCATGAAATGATACACTTTTTCATTTTTGTATTGTAGTACTTGAATATCACTTTCTTAAAAAAACATATACTACTCAATGTCTGATAAGAATCGGGAGTATCCAGGTGCATTCTGAATGTGACTGATTGTTAGGATATGTTGTCATATCATAGTATTCAATATTTCCATGGAATAAACATCGATACACAATACAATAAGCTGATAGTTATCTTCGTTTTGCATCACAGTATGACCTGTGAAGACCTGTGTTAGAATAGGCCTTCAGCAACCCATGCTTGCCGCAAAAGGCGAATATTCTTGTCGTAAGAGGCAACTAACGGGATCGGGTAGTCAGACTCACTGACTTGGTTGATGCTCATGATGTCAATCATTGGATTGTCTGGTCCAGACTCATTTATTTTCAGATCGTTGTCATTCAGCTGGAATACTGCTTAGTACGGTGTTAAACAAGTCGGCGTTAATGGTCTGACGACTCATGACTCATGGCTACATGTCAGGGCACAACTATGTTTACTTCTACCACACCTATGTCAAGTCTATGAAAATATAATAATTAATCTATTATGGCCTAATTCTTTGCGATGACAATATGGTTGTATGAATTTGTATTCATGAAAAGAAAGCTGTGTTTACATTTACCATGACCTTGTCATGTCTAGGTACAAGGCTGATTGATGGGTATACTGGGTTGTGATTGTGGGAGCACTGATATCATACAGTGGTTATGACTTGTTCCAATAAATTCATAAATTGTGACCAACCAGGAGATAAGGGACCTTTATAATGGGTGAAAATCCCATTTTGAGTTTGCGTTATGTTTTACATGACATCACACATGCAGTAAGTTGACATCAAAAGTCTTGACAATTGTATCCTAGCACCCAAAAGGTCCCTTTTCTCCTTGTGGGTCACAATAGTTAGTGATTGTATAAAACTTCACACAGTGCAATGGCATAATTATATTCTGAGTGAACCTGGAATCCTCTTTGAAAAAGTGGTTCTCTTTCTTTGGATATTGTAACAGTATATGAGCAATAGAAAGGTGTTAAATATCACTTAAGGTTCGTAAATATTTTCATATTGCAAAAAATGATGAAGATCTAATACTAAATATCTGTAGCAGCTCTTGGAGGAAAAGGGGGCACAGGTCGCCCAGTCGTCTAAGGCGCCGTAATTCGATCACTGTGTAGAGTTGTGTCCCTTGGGCACGCCAGCAACCTATGATATTTGGGTTTGAATCTCGGTTCACCCCAATTATGTTTCAAGGTTTGTCAGCACCATACCCGTGCTCATGGGTTTCACCGAAGTGGTAAACGTCTGAGACCTGCATCACTTTGGGCTTTCCTCCCACATTAAGCTGTCATGCCATGATATAATTGGAATACTGTTAAAAGTGTCGTTAAACCAAACTCACACACTCACTCACTCACTCTTGGAAGAAAAGGGATACCCAATTTATGTTGTCTATACCATGCCTACTTAGCATTAAGAAAATCTGTGACCAAGCAATTGCAACAAAAAGGTGTGAATGGTTTGTACAGAGGATTTTGTAGACAGATGTTTATCGAGATTGAGTGGTGAAGGGAACTGATCAAGGAGAGAGGTGTATACAGGAATGGACTATAGTGGACAGTAGGGAGGGTGTTAACTGTCGTAACACACTGACCAGCTTGTACAGGTGTTGTGGTCTTGTTAGTGCCTGAAGACTTGTTGGACACTTTACCAGGTTATAAGGTGATGTATATGTGTTACGGATGTATATCACATCTGTACATGTGTAGATTTTGGAGAAGACTACATCCCCATTTTGCTTTGTGAGTGGTAATGAAAATAGAGATTTGGTTGTGTTTGTGTTGCGGTTACTTTCGAGGGACCACTTAGGGAGGGACCAACATGGTGTCAATATTGCATCTCTCAGCAGACAAACTCACGTGTATTTCATTTTTCCTATATCTGTGGTAGGGCTGGGATGGGTAACTTGGGTACCCGGGTTGGGTGGTTACTGAGTAGGACCCGGATACCCACAGGTCTACCAGGACATAACGTGATATATTGATTAATGACAAAAATTATTTAGAACTCTATGGTTACATTACAAGTCACTAATGTTCGCATTTCTTTCTGACTATGCACCCATTCCTTCCGACTTTTCATATGGTTGAATAAAGATATAACTTAAGTCAACTTCAGTGGATGCATGATCGTTTTATACATGTATCTAAATAAGTGCTGTGGTAAAAAAATCCCCAGTTGGACATTTTGTATCTCTTGAGACCTACAGTGGGTACCCGGGTAGGGTCGGGTTGGGTCAGGTAATAAGGGGATGGGTACCTGGGTAGTAAATTTGGACTCTGTGGTGTCTTAATTATATATAATATTAATATTAACTATTATATTAATAATAAGGGTGTTTTATGCATCTCTCAGCAGACCTGAAAAACAAACTCAAATATTTCAAATTTTTCCATTTAACTATGTCATCTGTTGGCATGAAGAAAATAAGGATTTGTAGTTTGTTCACTTAAAGATGATTAGCCTGCAAAAGTTATAATGACGATAAGAATAAAATATGAAACAAATTATTCAAAATTATCTAGATTAATTTTAAAGCCTATGATTAAAAAGAACAGATATTCCATTCATGGTTGTAGGACTATGTTTCTGTGATGCATTGAATAAATAAATGCAAAAAAAAGTTTGAGATGTTTTTCAAGGACCATGTTTTCTATACATATATGACTTTTGTTGTAGGCACTGGAGGGTTCCTGATCGACAATGATGGTATTGTGAGAGATGACCTTGACCTCTACAAGAACACAGGTAACTGGACTGACTCAGGGTTCGGAGGTGACAAACAGTCAAGCACATCCACATTGCGACAATTACAGACAAGCTTTGATGATGACTCAAGATTATTTGATGTTGACCAAAGTGTGAATATCAGTGAGCTTGAAGCTTCCAAAGATGACCTGAGCTTTGATCGAGAATCTGTCACCAGTTTTGATCATGATTTTCAAGATGGAAGCCGAGGCAATACATCTGCTGGTATCATCAGTAATAGAAGCTCACTAGAGAAGCCCCAGAGTGGACAACACAATGAACACAATCAAAGTGCTACCAAATCAAACACTGACAAGAGTGAACTGTTCACTGAGGAGTATTACCAACAGTTGCGTGACCTTGGTGTGTTAGTGGACGGTGCTGATTTATCCAATACCAAAGACTCGGTACAAGATTTTGATCAGCTAGAGGCACATCTGTCCAGGGAAAATATATTCGATGAAACTGCTCAGACAGACACTATTGCTGATTTTTTTAGAAAAGAAAATGAGAGACAGATTCAGGAACAGCAGGCATATAAGTCGCAGGAGTTCAGGAATGGGGGAGAGAACAGATTCCGTCCAAATTCTGTAGCCTCAGAGCAGACGCTCAGCAGCCATTCCTTCCCAGAAGTCTCTCCAGAAGAGGCCCTGATGCTGTATAATGTCAACAGAGCTGCAGATTCATTTGATAATGGGAACTTTGAATACGGAAATCAAAGGGTGGTTGATACAACTGGTTTATTTCACCGAGACGGCGACACATCAGGAATATTTCACCGTAGCGGAGATGATGATGAGATCTTCTTCATCACCAGTCGGATGGGCACAGAAGCCCAGATGCCAAACTTCAGTCAGAATGTGTCCCCTGCTCCATACTCCCCACACAGCAGTCGGCCCACAAGCCGTGGTAGTGTCTACAGCAGCAGGTCTCAAACTCCTTACAGGGACCTTCAGCAGAGCTCTACATCACTGACAGATGTCTCACGCCTCGGATTTAACCAGAGTTCGGTTGAACATGAACAACCAGACTCTCCTGTGAAGAAGGAAGAGAGGCCACAACTTCAGACTCGTCCTGAGTCTGCCAACAATCAAAGCAAGTCACGACCTTCATCAGTAGCCAGTCACAGATCAACAGTTTCCGAAGCTCATTCCTCCAAAACAAACCAATCCGATTCTTCCAAACAGCTGTCGAAGGCTCGATCAGAAGAAAGTTTCTTTGAAGGGAACAAAACTCCCAGATCAACAAATGAAAAAATGCCAAAACGACTCTTACCGAAACCGGTTGAGGAGAACCAAAGCTTCCGGATGAAGAGCAAGAGCACAACCAACATCTCAAACCGACATGGTCCTATAAAACCCACACACTTGTCCATGTCTGACTTGTCCCGATCTGGAGTGGATGATGGGCTGGAGGGAGAAGGTGACAGGTCACAAGGAGAGTTGACAGTAAAGCTCAAACAGGAACACTTAAAGCGGAAACAGGCTACAGAGCTGGTTCAACAGCTACAGAAGGACTATGACAGTCTCTTGTCCAAGTATGCTATGGCGGAGCTGACCATTGATCAAATGAGGCTTGGGGCAAAGATAACACTTCATTCAGACTCCCCGACACCGAACCAGATTCAAACTGGGACCTTGACAGTGGCTCAACACCCTCAGGTTCTACAGATGGGCAGTGCAGCACATGGGGTGCTCTCAAACTCTCCCGCTCCAGGGGTCGCTGGACACTTCAGCCCTCAACCTGGTGAGTACAGATTGCTATTCCTAGCCAGAATAGGTCCATAGTAGCCTTTTGGTAAAAGATGAATGGTAGGGAATTGGGGGTTACAACATGTGACCTGTGCGGTTGTATGTCATTGTGCTATGACTGTGTTGGTGTTCATGTTATCAACCACTGGTTTGCCCGCTCCAGATTTAAATATTTACAGGTTTCTGTGATGTAGCGGGAATATTGCAAACTGTGACTAAAGCAACAGTCACTTCCGTTACAGAGTTAGGTTATGCTGCATTTGTGACCAACTCGTGTTATTCCGGGACAAGCTGAATAGCGTCTTGTGGCCATCTGTACGACTGGGTTCTGTCTAAGCACACATGGGCATAGCTAAAGAATAGTCAACTCGTTGCGTAATGTTTCACTTTTATTTCTCCCATATATCTTATATATTCCAGGTGCTATTCCAGGTTCACTTGACAATGTACACAAGTAAATCAATAACAAAGAACTGTTTCTTATGTCAATATTTTATTTTCAAACTATTTTGTTTCCCATCCCCCTCCGACCCCCATCCCCCTGATCTGTTATTGATATCTGAATACATGACAGTGTTGACAAACAAGATATGCTGTTATGCATGTACATTGGTACATTGAAATACTGTTCAATGCCTTGTTAAACCATACTCATAACATGTAAGTTAGCTGACAAAGAGGGTTTTCACAGACTCAAATCAAACCTTCTGTAAATTGGCTTATTTGGTAACACAATATTACGTAGTTTTATAAAGAAAAATCAGGGTTTTAAGCATTTTCCAGCAAACATTTTTTCCTGTGTAAAACCTGAGACCAAATATTTTCATGACACAGGTTATATTTTGAAAAATAATCTCAGGTGTTTTGTGTTGATGACCATTGGAAATCAGGGATAACACTTGATGAGACTTCAGTGTTTAATACGGCCCAGAACATGCCATGATGATGATACTGCCAGTTTCATACAAAAGTGGAATGTGACTTCGTGACTGGACTATGTTGTATAAATTATGGATTAGTTTGCGAAATGAAATAAGTGTCAGTATGTAACAAGGTCTCCCCAAAGAATATTAATTGGTTGGTCCTAAAATATGTGAAAACCTTATTCCGTAAAAATAGGGGCAACAAATGTGTGTTGTCTAACAGTAAGCATTATGAAAACTTGAAGTATTTCTCAAGTATATCTACATAAGGCTTAGGTCGTTTACCATTTATTTAATATTCCTACAAATCTGTAATTATTGTAGTTCATAGGTTATCTTACTTATTACACATGGTATAATTCTTCCATGAGGAACTAGTGTTTCCCATATCATTGGACCCATTGTTCACCACAACACAGCTTATAGCCTCAAGAGCATGAAGTACATGTACCTAGAAATGAAGTATTGTGTTTAGAATCTGTTAAAACAGAAAAAACCAATATCAGTGTTGAACAATTTGATCTGTTCAGTGCTAAACCAAAACAAAGTTGCTTAATCGAAAAGACTTGAACAAGTTGCCATGATAGAGCAAATATCAAAATGTCCGCCCAAATGTTATGCCAAGTATTCAGTGGGTGGCAACACTCGTTCACATGAGCAGTCAGCTGTGAGGCAGGGCTAAGATCTTGAACACACAAGCCAGAAAGCCTCTCCCAACACAATGGCCTGTCCTATCAACTCCATAAACTCCTTTAATCAGTTAATCTTGCAATTTGATAATTCTCAAGCAGATAATTAGGTTTTGTGCTTACAATGTGAAACAGACTATATTGAAAGAAATGTGTACACTTCTTCTCACAACATGTACATGACATATAGATTCAATAAAAAAATAGTTCAGGTGTCCAAAGGGCATTTTATTTTTGGTTTTATGCATGAAACAAGTAAAATTGCAAAATATTAAATATATTACAATGCTTCACAAATGTATCAAGATATCACCATGATATATTTGACAATGAGTTGGACAGTAGCCATTTATCCCTTCATGTGTTCTTTGTCAGTGGGGGTGGTGGGGTAGCCTAGCGGTTAAAGTGTTAGCTTGTCATGCCATTCGATTCCCCAAATGGGTACAATGTGTAAAGGCTATTTCTGGTGTCATGATTTTGCTGGAATATTGCTAAAAACAGCGAAAAACCATACTCACTCTCTCACTCACTCTTTGTCAGTGATCACTGAATGGAGTGGAAAATCCAGTACAGCAAATAAGGTGTCTGTGGGGATCCAGGTTAGAACAGGTCCCCATCACTCGATTGCTAATGTGTTAAAGGCCTAACAAAGAAAACCAGCAGAGGGCTAGCTACCAGACTATGGAATATGTACACACTTTAAATGGATGGAGCCACTCAAATTACAAAACAATCTCCATAAAGTGTGCAAGGGAAACAGACACAGTAAATCTTGCAGATGTCATTTGTTGCTGTCTGCATGATTTCATTGTGTTTGGTTTCATTGAAAATGTGCCAGGTTCTTATAATCATTATGATGTTAACTTTTTAGGGTAGGCCGGTGGTAAGAGGTGACTAAACTGTGTTGGTTGGTCAGGCTCCCGGAGACTTGGCTGTGTAGTGTTTGGCAAGGGGATGTGGAGTGGCTCAGTCTTTCAAGTAAACAGTTGACTTACCTTTGCATGTGTTTGTGATGGGTGATACCATTGCGGAAGTATACACTGCGAACACTTGATATCATCACTGTTTGATAGTGATTTTCAAGCACATGCTCATGATGTAGTTGGAATTGTACCATGGACAATGAACAATGGACAATGAACAATGAAAAATGGACAATGAACAATGGACAATGAACAATGGATTTAGATTATGAAAATTGTTCTCAGGCCTAAGTTAGTGGTTTGCCTGATCCTGATTGACTATAGTTACAGGCAGCGGTGATATGTGGAATTATTGCTGACTCCAGCGAAAAATAACAGATCAATAAAACCTATGTTGGAATGTGAGTTATTGATAAACAGCTGTCTGTTGTTGAGAGAAAGATTGATGGATTGTTTTGTCGCACGACTAATACTTTGAAAACATACATGGTTGTCTAAACATGGACACAAAATGGAGCTGCCTAGTGACTAAGGTTTTGTCCGCTACGAAGAAGGTCCAGGTTTTAATTTACCACATGGGAACAATATGCACCACTGATATAACTTGAATTTTGCTGAAATTGCACAAATAACCTACTCACTCACCATGAATTAGAATAATTAAGAGACACTTTCCAACAGAAAATATAACAAAAATAGTATAAATTTATCTAAATTTTCCAATATACAATATTTTTGACGGATTATAAAAATGAAAAAACAACAACACATATAAACTATTGCTATTTAGATACAGGTAGATCAAATGCATTTGTATGGTCTCTGGCAAACTTGTAAAGAGCATAAAACCTTACCTGACAGAAGTGGAAATGGTACATGTTATTGTGAAACAATGTAAACATGTTACACTAAAAAGTGATTTGGCATTTATTTCCCCGCCCCCTAAGATATCCAAGTGAAATAAAAATATTTTGCTGTAATTGAAAAGTTTACTTTCATTATTAATTGGACCTCTGCTCATGCTAGTCGGTTAGAAAAATGTGCACAAACCATTAATATATGAAAATAATCGCCGATGAAAACACAGCTGCACTTGAGCTAATGTTGAACAAAGAAATTAGTCATGTGATTCCATGGACAATAACGAATTACTAGAGCTTGTCCGAGACAAAAGTCTGTTCTAGTCTCTGAGCAAAATGTTCTGAATGGCTTCATTAAAGATGAAGCTGACGCCTCAGGTCACTCGATCTCTGGAACAGGGTATAAGATTATCCTGATCATGTTGGACCCACCGATGTGTGTATAACTAAGATTAAGGTGTAATATCAGCTTACTGTGTAGGTTCAAGAACATGGTATATAGGAACATTGTGTTACATAGTACACACTCCCAACAGGGTGTGCTGAGGAGTTGTCAGGACAAGGTGGAAGATTCTTGGAGTTATTGTGTCAGGAGCAGTGCAAGGAGCTTTGTGAAGGATTGGTTTAGCTTCAGAATGTGGTTTGAGAACAGGGTGACTTGGCCTTGGATTCAGAACAAGTTGTGTTGTTGATGTGAATGGGCGTAGGTGCTAATATTGGTCTTAAGGTCATTGAAGTGCGCCACAATTCACGTTGTCAATGTAAAAGTGGAAAGTGCTTGACCTGATAACTTGTTCGTGTGATGGGTTGTGAGGGACTGGAAGTTGTGAAGGAATCAGTTTGAAAGTATTGGATACAAGATCATATAATTGAACCGTAGCAGTTTTTGGAAATGCTTTTGGTCTTGTGAATTCCGCGTGTGATCAGGTGCCAAAAAGATCTGGTCTTCAGAATGGTGAAGGTTTCATGGTGGTCCGGGTCAAGGACAAAGATGACGAAACTTGTTAGAAATTGTTTATAAATGGAAGAGACATGTTGATCTGACATGCTCAAGGGAAGAATTGTGCTGCACAGTGTCTTTAGTATGGCATGCTTGTTTATGAACTGCTGGGTGCTAATTGGTAGGGCAGGATATGATTACCTTTTTCGCAAACACCAGGTGTCATCACTGATTTTCAGTGATATATTCCTTTAGTTTTCACTGCTATTTTGCCTTTTACCCCCAATGGAATCTGTTCCATCGGATAATCGAGACTGGTTATTCTCTGGCATTGACGGTTTGTATTTATCATACATGTCCTTGAAGATGGTTCATTGACCTGAGTAGTTGGAGTGGGAAATATCTAACATGAAGAGAAAGAAAGATTAGTGAGACTGACAGCCTTGAACACATGCAATGTGGAGCTAGCGGCTTTTGGCTGAGGAGTGACCCTGTTTCTTGTCCCGAGTCCTGCTTCAATGAGGATCCAGTGTGTTCGGTTCACTTCCTGTTGTCTAGATCTCCTGACTGAAGGATTGTGCATGTACAGAAGGAAGATTGGTTATTTGCCGTCAATTCACCCAACCTTGAGAATTTTATGAAGCACCTTAGATATTACTT